CATATATACATAGGGAGGGTGAGCTTTGATACTCAGTGAATGGTACAAGTAATAAAGGTTTTGAATGAATGATAACCGAGATCCTTGCAAAACATACGTATCATGGCTTGTACAAAACATGGGATGAATCTAGTTCATCAACTTGATCTTACAAAACTTACTTACGTACTTTGGATGTTAATAGCATCTACATAATACAAGGGATGACATTCCGGACTTACAAAACCCACACGGTAAACCGTCAGTGGCAAAACAAGACAAAACAAGGGAATAATCCACCCGGAATCGATTAGACAAACCCATCCGCACAAGGCAGTCGGTGCAAGGGAATATCTCAAACAAGGGTGCTACAAAAGTTTAGAGTCCTCTAGCACAAAGGACCTATGTTACAAAGGCCCGTAGCCCCCTAACACGAGAGTACTGCAAAAGTTTAGAGTCCTCTAGCACAAGGGACTTTCCGAGAATGTCATCAAAACAAAATAATACTTGATATACACAAATAGGGTTAATCATTCATGCTTGATCAAATGCTTTTATCAAAACGAAACAAGGCTTTATCAAATCTTTATCAACATAGCTTTATTAAAAATACCACTCACATAGCTCTTCGGACGTCGGGATCAAGGCAAAGGTCCAAGTCCTACAAACACATGGCAAAGTCTACTGAATGCACTTCACAAAACAAGTCTTACATGCGTGCAAATGATCTCGGGAAAACATGCTGGAAGTCAAAACACTGTTTTACATGTCAGGAAGACATGCTGGGTACCAACCAGGTCTTTGCCGAGGTCCCACGCTTCCTGGCCGAGGTGTGGTTATCGAGGCTTCGGCGTGCGGCTGCATGCTGAGGTGCGCACAAGACAAACTAAAGGTGTAAGTGATCATGCAAGGTAGGCCAAGGTGAGATACGATGCTTGGCCTAAGTGTGAGGTATGGGTAAGAGTGATCTCGGCGACTACACTTAGGGAAGTGAGGTCTGGAGATCTGGGTTTCCACCCGTGAAGAACATGAAGAACATGAACATGAAGACCATGAAGAATATGAATGCTAAAATCATAACTTCTTTATTACAAAATCTGGGATTTCATGCTATGAGTTCGAAAACATGGACCTGGGTACCCATACTTGAAAATCATATGAAAACAAACACAAAAACATGGATCTTGGCATGAGCTTTCGGATCAAGACATGACTTTCTTCAAGAACACATGAATACTATTTTCTCTTTCTAAAACCGAACTTCAAAGCAATGCATGGCTTACAAATCGTATTCCATCATGCAATGCAATAACATGAACATAAAGAACAACATGAGCAGATCAAGAATCTAACCTTAGAACACGGATCTAACCGTTCGATCTCTAGGGATCAAGCTTGGAAATCTACTCTCCCTCAAGAACTCCTCTCCCTCTTCTAGAGCTTCTCTCTCTCTTCAAAACAAAGATATAACAAATGATAGGTTTCTCTCTCTGCTGGCTGACTTAACACTCAGATCGGACACGTGGCAATGGCTGGTTGGCTCTCCCTAAAAAGGTGATAGATTGACAAGACAAGACTATGACAAAGTGTATCTAACAAGCTACCCGGTAAGGCACTTCGGCAAGTGATGACATCGGCTAAGGACAAAGCTTCGGCAACTAAGGTGACAATGACCTCGGCTAGGAAGGACAACACTTGACTAAGTTGTGCCACACCTTGGCCTAGATGTGCCACACCTCGGTCTAGGTCATACCACTCCAGGACAAGATCACTTAGGTGCAAAGGTAACATCTCGGCCTAGATAGTACACATCTAGGCCTTGGTGATGAACACCTCGGCCTAGATAATGACATCTCGGCCAATATGTCAGGGCGAAGATGGAGATCAAACAAAGTGGTTCCGAGATAATTCTAGACTGAAGATGACCTCGGCTTGGAATGATCTAGGCTTAACATGACTTTGGCTTGAGACACCAAGGAAGGAACAAAGCATGCATACAACACTTAGACATATCACATAAACACAAAACAAGGCATGGACCTTACTTAGGCAAAACAAGTCATAAACATGCAAATGCAAGCTTAACGAGTCATAATCATACAAATGCTCATGAACATGACTAAGACATAAATGTGGGTTGTTACATTTTAAGTCGGAGTGATATTACCATTTTGAATTGATTTATTACCTTTGAGTTTTGTAGCACATGATACCCAAAAAATTGTTGGTAGTGCCTTCAGGCACGAGTTATCCCTAGTATTATATATTAAACAAAATCGATTATGCATTAAAAGGCTAACAACCATCCATTAAATAATAATCATCCAAAAATATCAACAAAAACAACTACTCATTGCATGATCATCATCCAAACGCATAAGAAAATTAATTTGGTAAAATAAAATAAAAAATAAAGTATTTTTCATTTTTATAAAATTTTATTTTTGGTGAGTAAAAATAATTTATAAAAATTTAAAAATATTTTTGGACATTTATTTTTGTCAAACTAATTTATATTTTATTAAATTGATGACTTTGCCCTTGAAATGAACCAACAAGGTCTTCAATTGTCTTTATTTGAAATGAGATTCAAAATTGAAAATTGAAAAGTCAGGAACTAAAGTGACGCAAATCTCAAACTATTGGAACTATTTGTGTGATTTTCCCAAATTAATCACCAACACAATCATCCATCTAAAAATTTTAAGCGGGAAAAATTATGTGACATAAATGACTTGGTCTGCAATTTCTGTGTTCCCATTTTTATTTTTTATAATTGTGTTCTGAATTTTTCTCACTCAGAATGTCTTTGTAAAATGTGAAGCTCCCCACACAAACACTAATTACTTACTTCCAATTGTAGTCTATAGGCTATAGCATAATAATTTCACCATTTATTAGTCTTAAATACATACAGCCACTTTAACTGGTACCACAACTTTGGATCAGTATATATATACAAGCACAAAATGAATACAACAAGAGGCAAAAGCAGAGCTAGCTCTTATTGGGTTTGCTTGTTGTTCTTTTCACCTAGATCATGATGGCCCGAATACTTGCTCTCTTAACTATGCTTTCTTTGGCTTCCCTTCTCACTGAAGCCTCTATCCATGTCCTCGCATTATATATATTCAGGAACTCAATTGTTGATGAAGGAAACACGCAGCCAACTCCACCATATGGCATTGATCTTAACACAATAATATCCATTCGATGGACCAATGGAAAAACTATTGCTGATTTAATTGGTAAACTTTGGATTCTTTTTATTATTGCTCTCTCTCTCTCTCTTTCTCTCTCTCTCTCTCTCTCTCCTTTTTTTCATGGTATTATACCAAATGATCCAAGAAATATCTTCTTGTTTGCAGCAAGCTTCTTAGGATTGCCATTTGTTCCACCTTCCACAAACACTTCAAGAGTGGAAATATCCAAAACCGGTGTAAACTATGGACATGTTGCTTGTGGTTTGTTGTGCCAAACTGGCCCTATAATATAAATAACTTTTTTTTGTTCAAATTATTTTACTTCTCTATAAACGTACATGGTGATTGTATCAATTTTGATTTTAATTTTAATTTTAACCTTAATTTTTGTAGCAGAATTGTTTTTTTTTTTTGAAGATCAAATCGGCCAATTTAATTTAATTGTGGCAAATGATCTTACAAAAGCATTCAACGAACAAGAACTTGCCTAACATTTGACAAGTTCTGTTTTTCTTGTTTCATTTGGCATAAATGACTACTCCTTCAACTATCTGTCTTCTGGGGTTGTGAGCAAAATGGCATCCCATGAATACTTCTAAATGAAATGTCAACGGGTTTGAAGGTAAAAAGTTAGTGAGTTTCAAATTTTCTCTAGTGTTTGGAGTACGTAATATGAAGATATGTTAACAAAAATGCCATGTTTTGCAAACATTGTATAGATTGGGGGCTAGGAAATTTGTAGTTAAGAACATTTGGCCGTTGGGGTGCACACCAAACTTTGTCAATCAAACCCTCAGGCAGTTTCCTGCAATGAAACTATCAACCAGCTGATCATTCCTTATTGTAACAATCTTTCTAGCGTGCTGAATGATTTACAATCTGCCTTTTCACACTCAGACGATTTCAGTTCGTGACAGACTTGATGCAGAATTCAGGAAAATATGGTATGGAAAACTACTCTTAAACTATGGCATTTAGAAGCTTCATGTTTTCACACAAAATGTTGTTTCATATGAGTGCATTACAAACTCCATTGATTTTAAGAAAATGAATGAGTAGCTTCCTTTTTTCTTTTTTCTTTTTTAATGGAATGAGTAGTTTTTTGTTTTAAAAAAATCTCAACCATAATTAATGTGGCCAATATTATTTTTAGGACAAAGAATGACCCAATTATTATGCCTCCAGTTCATAACTAGATCATGTTGGCTAATAGCCCACCTTCACCTTATCAAACAAACTGAAGCATGTTTGCATTGGTGGGTCTCAAAACCATCCTACTCCTTTCCTTTACACAACTAAACCAAACCAAACCAAACCAAAAGTACCCAAACTAACCAAAAGGCATCAATTGATTTTACTACACAGCCATGATTACATTCATCTCTCTCTCTCTCTCTAATTTTACTACATAGGCATTATTACATTCATTCTGTCTTTCTCTCTCACTGTGGTTTTTTGGATACATTGCACTGCATGAATTTGAGTTTATGAAACATCCCATCTGATAACTTAAGAAACTTGAGCAAGAACTTCAAAAAGTATATCATTTGATTGAAAACAAAAGTGAACTGCCTTGGCAAAATTGAAACTGCAACCAGTTCTAAGTTCCCTATTAAAATGCGAAAATGCCCATAATTTTCTTCTAGTAAAACATATTTTAAAAATTTTGATCGAAAGTAACAATTAATAGAGAACATATGTATAACCAACCCAATACCATATTTTAAAAATGTTGTTCCTATTTTCTCTCAATGATTCTTCACCATGTGAGGTGGAACAAAGAAACCTTCCTTATTCTATGATTGCCAACCTAACCCCTCATTCTTTGTTGTCGGGAAGAACAATACCACCAGCGAGTGCTACAATTATAACAATCCCAATACCATCTGCAAGGATAGAGATGAACAGTTCAACGAAAAAACATTGTTGGCTGCTTGAGTGGGATGAATAGAGTCAGAGTTGAGATATTGATCTCTATCCTAGTAGATGGTATTGGGATTGTTATAATTGTAGCACTCGCCGGTGGTATTGGTTATCCCTGCAACAAAGAATGAGGTGTTAGGTTGGCGATCATAGAATAAGGAAGGTTTCTTTGTTCCACCTCACATGGTGAAGAATCATAGAGAGAAAACAGGAACAACATTTTTAAAATTTGGTATTGGGTTGGTTATACATATGTCTTTATTAATTGTTACTTTCGATGAAAATTTTTAAAATATGTTTTACTAGAAGAAAATTATGGAGAACTGGTTGCAGTTTCAATTCTGCCATGGTAGTTCACTTTTGTTTTCAATCAAATGATATACTTTTTGAAGTTCTTGCTCAAGTTTCCTAAGTTATCAGATGAGATGTTTCATAAACTCAAATTCATGCAGTGCAATGTATCCCAAAAACCACAGTGAGAGAGAAAGACAGAATGAATGTAATAATGTCTATGTAGTAAAATCACAGAGAGAGAGAGAGAGAGAGAGAGTAAGAATGTAATAATGGCTATGTAGTAAAATCAATTGATGCTTTTTGGTTAGTTTGGGTACTTTTGGTTTGGTTTGGTTTGGTTGTGTAAAGGAAAGGAGTAGGATGGTTTTGAGACCCACCAATGCAAACATGCTTCAGTTTGTTTGATCAAGTGAAGGTGGGCTATTAGCCAACAGGATGTGGTTATGAACCGAGGCCTAATAATTGGGCTTTGTCCTAAACATAATATTGGCTACATCAATTATGATTGAGATTTTTTAAAACAAAAAACTACTCATTCCATTAAAAAAATAAAATAAAAAATCAATGGAGTTTGTAATGCACTCATATGAAACAACATTTTGTATGAAAACATGAAGCTTCTAAATGCCATAGTTTAAGAGTAGTTTTCCATACCATATTTTTTCAAATTCTGCATCAAGTCTGTCACGAATTGGAAATCGTTTGAGTGTAAAAAGGCAACACCAGTAAGGTAAGATTGTAAATCATTCAGCATGCTAGGAAGACTGTTATTATAAGGAATGATTAGCTAGTTGATAGTTTCATTGCAAGAAACTGCCCGATGGTCTGATTAACAAAGTTTGGTGTGCACCCCAATGGCCAAATGTTTTTAACTACAAATTTCCTAGCCCCCAATCTATACAATGTCTACAAAATATGGCATTTTTATTAACATATCTTCATACTATGTATTCCAAACACTAGAGAAAATTTGAAACTCACTAACTTTTTACCTTCAAACCTGTCAACATTTCATTCAGAAGTATTTTTGCAAATTCTTGGGGTGCCATTTTGTTCACAACCCTAGAGGATAGATAGTTGAAGGAGTAGTCATTTATGCCAAATGAAACAAGAAAAACAAAACTTGTCAAATGCTGGACAAGTTCTTGTTCGTTGAATGCTTTTGTAAGATCATTTGCCACAGTTAAATTATATTGGCCGATCTGATCTTCAAAAGAACAATTCGTTTGCAAAAATTAAAATTAAAATTGATACAATCACCATGTACATTTATAGAGAAGTAAAATAATTCGAACAAGAAAAAGTTGTTATTTGTATTATAAGGCCAGTTTGGTGCAATAAACCACAACCAACATGTCCATAGTTTACATTGGTTTTGGATATTTCCACTCTTGAAGTGTTTGTGTAAGCTGGAACAAATGACAATCCCAGGAAGCTCACTGCAAACAAGAGGATATTTCTAGGATCATTGGGTATAATACCATGAAAAAAAGAGGAGAGAGAGAGAGAGAGAGAGAGAGCAATAATAAAAGGAATCCAAAGTTTACCAATGAAATTAGCAATAGTTTTTCCATTGGTCCAGTGAATGGGTATTGTTGTGTTAAGATCAATGGCATATGGTGGAGTTGGCTGCGTGTTTCCTCCATCAACTATTGCGTCCTCGAATACGTATAATGCAAGGATATGGACAGAGGCTTCAGTCAGAAGGGAAGCCAAAGAAAGCATAGTTAATAGAGAAAATATTCCAGCCATGATGATCTAGGCGAGAAGAACAGCAAGCCAACTTAATAAGAGCTAGCTCTAGTATTGCCTCTTGTTGTATTCATTTTGAGTTTAGATATATATAATGATCCAATATTGTGGTACCAGTTAAGGTGGCTGTATGTATTTAAGACTAATAAATGGTGCAATTATTATGCTATAGAGTCTATAGACTGCAATTGGAAGTAGGTAATTAGTGTTTGTGTGGAGAGTTTCTCATTTTACAAATGCATTTTGAGTGAGAAAAATCCAAAACACAATTATTAAAAATAAAAATGGGAACACAGGAATTGCCGTGCAAGTCATTTATATATAATTTCCCTGCTCAGAATTTTTTGGTGGATGATTGTGTGTTGGTGATTAATTTGGATGAATCACACAGAGTCCTTGTAGTTTGGGATTTGTGTCATTTTAGTTCATAACTTTTCAATTGTGATATATTTGATCTTGAATTTTGAATCTCATTTCAAATAAAGACAATTGAAGACCTTGTTGGTTCATTTCAAGAATAAAGTCGTCAATTTGATAAAATATAAATTAGTTTGACAAAAATAAATGTCAAAAAATTATTTTTAAAATTTTTAAAATTATTTCTATTCACTAAAGATAAAATAATATAAAAATGATAAATATTTTATTTTTTTAAATTTTTTTATCAAATTAATTTGTTGTACATGTTTGGATGATGTTCATATAATGAGTGGTTGTTTTTCTTGATATTTTTGGATGGTTATTATTTAATGGATGGTTATTAGGCTTTTGTTGATAATCGATATGTAAAATATTTTAGATTTTGGATTTTTTAATTTAATGGATTAGTTTAATAATGACATCAAAGTTGTCGTCGTATTTGACTTTTGAAAAAATAAAACTAATTTAACAAAAATAAATATTAAAAAAAATATTTCCTCTTCCAAAAGATAAAATTATATAAAAATGATTTGTTTTAATTTTTTAACCAATTTAATTTTTAGTTTCTTAGAAAAAAAATTTGAAAACTAAATCAAATAGAACTTCATAATGAAAAAAATTCTGACTTTATTCATTTAAAACAGGCAATTATATTTCAAATAACTTATAAGTTAGCTAACATAAAATAAGTTATATTTTGACTTTGCCCTTCCAATGGAGCAACAATGTCTTCAATTGTCCTTGTTTGAAATGAGATTCAAATTTCAGGTTTAAATGTATCACAATTGAAAGGTCATGGACCAAAGTGACCCAAATCCAAACTATAGAGACTGTTAGTGTAATTCGTCCGATTAATTTATATAGTATAGGATTCATGTGAGGTCCATGTGAAGTGTGGTGGAGATTAATTTCTGAGTAATTTCTTAATTAACAAGGGTAGACTTGTAATATTACTCATAATTTCATGTCCTAAGCATATGTATCTATCTAATGCACTTGGGTTTGACCTAGTGGTTTTGTAGTCACATTTTAAGGTGTGGTGGTGAAGGGAAGGTCAATGGTTCAAGTGGATGGAGTAGTGGTGACATCTTTAGTTGTAATATAACTTTATTAACAATTTAACATCCTACAATACAATCTTTGCCCAAAAAAAAAAAATTCTAAAATTTCTCAAGATATTGATTTGTGATTATGTATCAATTTTAACCAGTAAATAGTAATCCCAATCAAACAATCAAAGACAAATTGTTACAACGATTTAAGTTGGAAAAATCACAATTGGAGCGCCTCCAATTGTGTTAAAAAATCACCGGCAAAAGCCATAAAACAATCCACTATGAAGACATAAAGGAATTACACAAGTGTTCTCTCAATTACCTAGCGAATCCACGCCCGAATCGAACTAACCTGTATGTGCCTCTTCCAGCTCATCTTCACCTCAGAATTGTCTTGTCTAACATTGAATTCACAACGTCGATGTCAAATTCACGGCGATGAGCCACTCTGGAATCCACCAAAGTTTCACGCTCAAGTTCCACGAAATCCAGCGAAAAACTACTCTCTTTTGTGAATAAATGAAAACAAACAAACCCCTTGATATAATCCACTCAATTCATGATATAATCTCTCACAGATATCAACGTAAACAAGCAAAGAAGCTCTAGATAAAAATCTTAATACCCAAGAAGCAGATTTGGAAGTTGTGCCATAGAAACAGACTGAATCGCAGCTTTATAAAGACAAGGGTCGCGATGCTCGCTCAAGCGAAGGAGACTAAAATGCGTGTTTTTCCAAGTGCCTTCGCTTGAGCCACCAAAGTGTCGCTTGAGCGAGAAATGCATCTTCTCAGTATTTTTACAGTTAGTGAAAACTTCTGGGACCCAAGATTCTTTACTCGATCACACATTCCTTCGCTCGAGCAAACAAACAATTTCGACTGCATAGGCACAATTCAGGTTGGATTTGCATTTAAATACTCATAGCCTCACTGAAATAAAAGATCGAATAAAATTACAACTGAAAGAAGTTTTGTCAAACAGAATTGCCAATAATAAAACCTAACAAAAATAATTTTAAAAAAAGACTGTAAACAGAGGATTTTGGGCAATCAATCAATCATTTATAAGGTTAGATAAGAAAATAATGTCCAAATAGTACACATTAATGTGTGTTTGGGATAACTGAATACTTGTAAAAAATGTATTGAGATAATTGAATTGTTTTTGTTTATATAGCGATTCCGGTTTTTCCTTTCTGTATTTGTTGTATTCTGGACTTTGGTCCCATGGAGTTGGTGGTTGTGTTCCTTGTTGTCATCCTTTAATTTCGTGTGTTTGAGTTTTGGGATGTGTTGGACGTGTTTCGAACAGGTAGGTTGAGTTCTAGCCTCAAATGTAGTTGCCCAGGTTTTTGGTGTTACGCTCGAGCGGGACATTCTACGCTCGAGCGGAGTTTTGGTTTTTGGTTTTTCGCTCGAACGGGCCTTCTTGCGCTCGAGTGGGGTTTACATACTCCCAGTATCTCGTGCTTCTGCAAAACTTTTGCAGGTGTGTTTTTCACACTCGAGCGAGTTTCCTTACACTCGAGCGGGTCACGCTCGAGCGGGTATATTGGCGCTCGAGCGGGTAGTGCTTTGTCTGTGAAAGTTCTGGGAAGGGGAAATCTACGCTCGAGCAGACTGGCTTTCGCGCTCGAGCGGATGCATTTTATTCTTGTGTCTTGGAGCTCGAGCGGGCCTTCTTGCCCTCGAGCGTGTCCAGATTTTTGTGCTTGACGTTCGAGCATTCTATTCTTCGCTCGAGCGGGAGTGTCGTATATCAGTGGGCAGCTGGGCATTTTTGAATCACTTTTTACACTTCCTCTCTCTCTCTCTCTCTTACTTTCCCAAAATCAATTTTGAGAGCTCCTCTCTCTAGAATCTCCCTTCTCTCTTAGGATTGAACTAGTTAGAGTGTTCTCCTACCCTTTGGCCTTTACAAATAGTGTGTTGATCATCAAGGGCTACATTTTGATCTGAAAAGATTGAAGTTTGGAGCATCTTCATTTTCTTCATCTTCTTCGTTGGGATTCATCTCTTGAGGTAGGGATTCCTACTCATTCTTATGGGTTTTGACCTAGATATTGAGCATGTTATTTAAATGGTTTGATTTTGGGACTTAGGGTTTCAAAAGGTAGAAAAATAGTGTGTTGATCATCGAGGGCTACATTTTGATCCAAAAAGATTGAAGTTTGGAGCACTTTGAATTTCTTCATCTTCTCCGTTTGAGCTCTGACTTCCGAGGTAGGGATATCCTACTCCTCCTTATGAGCTTTGTCTTTAAATTTTAGCATTTTGATATGTTGGGGATTGTTGGGTAATTTTGAGAAAGTTTGGGTCTTTGTGTAATTTTACAAGAGATGGGGTTTTATTTATATAAGCCTATATGCATGTTTAGCATGGAGAAATGAAATAAATGTTGGGTTATTAATAGAAATGGAACCTTAGGGTTGTTTTGTTAATTATGGGTAATGCCCTAATTATATTGATGAATTAATTTGTGAAATTAATTTTGAGAAATGAGAAGTTGAATTGAGAATGTTGAAATTGGGAACGTATCGAATTAAAGGGTGTAGTTGGATCATTTATCACTCACCTAGTTGAAAGGTCGATATTTTATCCATTTGGTGCATTTATTTTCTGTTTAGAAATAACTGCTTTGGGCTATCGGTGGAGGATAGCCTTGATTGTTGTAGACAATGCATGATGATTAGGCAAACTAAAACTAATCGATTGAGTATGCTATCGAGTATAGCGGTTGGAATAATACATTAACTTTATTTATTGATTGATTATGTATATGATCTATGTTTATATACATTGTGTGTGGGGGGAGATAGGGGATGTACTCCACAGTTTTCGGGAAGATAGGGGATGGACCTCTAAACCGGATTTTGTGTGTCATTGATACAGCACTACAATGTGTATCAAGTGTGGATTATGGAAGTGTTTGAATTGATTTGATATAGCACTAAAATGTATATCGTTATCAATTGTGAAGTATAGAAGTGTTTCTATGTGTTATTGATACAACACCAAAATGTGTATCCATCATGAATTTCGTAAGTGTTTTAAAGATGAGTCTTAATCTCATTAAGTTATTTGGCTAGGTTCTAAGCCTTGTTTTCAAACTCAAAGTTGAGAAAGAAATGGGAAATGAAATGTAACGTAGACTTAAATGTCATGAAATTGTAACGTGTTATAAGTGGAAATATAAGTGTGGACCATCTATCGAATGCTGTTATTTTAGTCATTGTTTATAGTTGGTTTAGTATATTTGTACTGAGCTGTGGCTCACCCTATATGGGACAACATTTTCAGGTACAGGTAGCATGCCACCTCCAAGGACATAGCTTGGGAGGCTTGAGACTGTTGAGTTGTTTTGTGTTTTGATTGTATTATATGTCTATCAAGCCAAGGGCTTTCTTTGTATAGAGTTAGTACTCTCTTTTTGTAACCAAGTGTTGACTTGGAAAGTTTTAAGCCCATAGGGCATTTACTTTTGATGTCAACATGTAATACATTTTGTAAAGACTACTCTGAT